GAAAGAAAGGAAGTTATATTTTGTGTCTTTATTCGATGTGTTCTTTGTCAATTTATTTCTGGTCATGAGTCACTTATTCAATTATAAATATTGAGAACTTTTCAATATATTTTTGATAATACTGAGTCTTACCAGCGTTATGGTGCAAATTTGTTAAATAATGATGCTGAAGATTGGAGTTAATCGATCTGGATGCAAAGGCACAACTTGGAAGGTCTGTGACTTCGTCTTCTGAGAGGTCTCCTGTGTTGTAACCATATTGCATGCTGAAAAAAACACTTTTCAATCTGAACACTGTTCTACAAATCAACGCATTTTAAATTAACGATTTATTTTATTTGCGTTTGTATTAAAATTATAACATCTCGATGATTTCCGTTTTGGCATTTTTAATTATTATGAAATGCTGCACTTGGAATTTTTTAAATTCAATATTGTTTTTCCCAGTAGTTTCGGATGAGAGAAGTGATCAAGAGCAGTAAAATAAATCTTAAAACTAAAAATACATTTCCTATTTGAGGAAAGTACAGAGGAATTGCGTTATTGTTCAAAAAATCGTTAAAGTTAATTACACTTTAAATGGGTTCATTTGGTTCTTGGTTTGCTTATAGTTTAAATCGGGTTTTTTTCGCAATTATCGACCAAAGTATTTAAAGATCTCAAAACAAATTCGGAATTACACTCTGTATTGCAAAACACTTACTTTACGGGTGGCGAGCTGGAAGAATCAGGTAACGGCCCTCTGCTCATACTTTCACTAAACCTTTGCACCCAATTATAACACCTCTTATTGCACTGATTTGCCAATTAATTTTCAATCAATTTCCACTCATTCCTACACCCAACACAGGATAACTAACTGATGCCAATTCCCCGGGGATTTGGGCTTTTATATATGCGATAAAACTGCACTTGTTTTTATCATCCGACAATTCCCTTCTGCCCTGTGTGCGCCCTTATGTGTAAATTGCTTTAAGGGCCTGTTTCCAGTGTACGGACGTATCGATTCAGGGCGTTAACAGCAACTTCCTTGTCCAATAATATTCGTCCTTTTAATGGCCTGTCTAAGCCTGGCTCAGTATTGGCGGGTTTTGAATGAAAAAGGGTGAGTTAGAATTTCAGCCCTGTGGCTGACAGCCCTAAACGAGTGAAGAAAGAGCCATCAAACGCAGATATTTGACGGTTTATACAAATAAATTTCATAAAGAGGACGTTGAACGATTCAATCAGGGAAGTGAAAATAAATATAAAATGCTAGCCATAGAATTTTCCTTAAAATCGATCTTAACGTATTGAAACCAGCACAGCACATTGATGATAATTCATTAAAATTAATATGACAAAGTCATTAAAAAATTGAAACTACTGGGTTTTTCGGGTTTTTAGGCTGTCGTTCGGTAGAATTTCTTCCTGACGTTTCGCAAGCACGAGTGGCTTGCATCTTCAGAAGTGGTTTGCTTGAACGCTTACACTGTTCTCA